CATTTTTCTTTTATTATTCATATGTGCATACAAGGCTTGGTTCATTTCTCCCCCTGCCCCCACCCCTCCCTTACCACCCACTCCACCCCTCAGCTCCCCCTCAATACCCGCAGAAACTATTTTGCCCTTATCTCTAATTTTGTTGTAGAGAGAGTATAAGCAATAATAGGAAGGAACAAGGGGTTTTGCTGGTTGAGATAAGGATAGCTATACAGGGCATTGACTCACATTGATTTCCTGTGCGTGGGTGTTACCTTCTAGGTTAATTCTTTTTGATCTAACCTTTTCTCTAGTTCCTGGTCCCCTTTTCCTATTGGCCTCAGTTGCTTTAAGGTATCTGCTTTAGTTTCTCTGCATTAAGGGCAACAAATGGTAGCTAGTTTTTTAGGTGTCCTACCTATCCTCATCCCTCCCTTGTGTGCTCTCGCTTTTATCCTGTGACACCCCATTTCTAAAATAACCAGTGCAAAATGAACTGGAGGCGTGGCTGAAGCCATAGAGCACCTGCTTTGTAAGTATGGCTCCCTGAGTACAAATTCCAGTTTCACCAAACAAAAAAAGGGATGGGTTGATAAAGTATTTCAGATTTACTGTGGATTAAGAAATGTATACTAAGCCGGGTGCCGGTGGCTCATGCCTGTAATCCTAGCTGCTCAGAAGACAGAGATCAGGAGGATCACAGTTCAGAGCCAGCGTGGTCAAATAGTTCACCCCAATCTCGAAAAAACCCATCACAAAAAAAAAACGGTTCAGGTTGGGGTGGGGGCACTAGTTGAGTGGCTCAAAATGTAGGCACTGAATTCAAACCCTGGCACTGCAAAAAAAAGTTACTAGATGTAGCGAAATTAGATGGAAAAAACATGAGATGGATAATATCCTAATTATGGATAGGGAATAAATGTTATGTTCAATATAGATATTTTGGGGGGGGTGTAGTAGCTGGGTGTGGTGGTGCAGTGCGCCTCTAATTCCAGTATTCAGGATGCTGAGGCAAGAGGATCTTGAGTTCAAGTCCAGCCTGACTTACCTAGCAAATTCAGCTGGAGAAACTGAAGGGCTCAAGTGGTCATATTTTAGTGATTACCAATCTCTGGACCCCCTTGCAAGACACTCAACTAAGAACTACTGATTATTTTGTGATCATACCAAATTTTTTTTGTCTGTTTTTGGCAACACTGAGATTTGAACTCAGGGCCTCATACTTGCTAGGCAGGCACTCTTACTGCTTGAGCTACTCCATCAGCTCTTTTTTGTGATGGCTTTTTTGAGATAAGATCTGGGCCAGCCTTGGCTGACTCTAAACCATGATCTCCTGATCTCTGCACCTGAGTAGCTAGAATTATAGGAGCCCAGCTCATACCAACTTTTAATTGGTGTCAGCATGGTGACCCATGTTTCTCCTTGTGAAAAGAATTTGAATTATAATTGTTTACACTTCTCAACTTTGACAGTGATACAATCTTATAAAGGGAGGGATACTTTTTTTTAAATAAGTTATTCTTTTTTGCAGGGATTGAACCTTGTGCCTGATAAATAAGTTCTCTACCACTGAGCTAATGCTCCTGGTCCAATTTTTAATTATCAAATTAGAGAGTGGAAACAAAGGGAATGTGAAAACTTGTTTTTTAAAAAATAAATAGTGCCCACATCATTCTGAGTGAGGTTAGCCTGGCCCAAAAGACCAAAAATCGTATGTTCTCCCTCATATGTGGACATTAGATCAAGGGCAAACACAACAATGGGATTAGACTATGAGCACATGATAAAAGCGAGAGCACACAAGGGAGGGGTAAGGATAGGTAAGACACCTAAAAAATTAGCTAGCATTTGTTGCCCTTAACACAGAGAAACTAAAGCAGATACCTTAAAAGCAACTGAGGCCAGTAGGAAAAGGGGAACAGGTACTAGAGAAAAGGTTAGATCAAAAAGAATTAACCTAGAAGGTAACACCCACGCACAGGAAATCAATGTGAGTGAATGCCCTTTATAGCTATCCTTATCTCAACCAGCAAAACCCCTTGTCCCTTCCTGTTATTGCTTATACTATCTCTACAACAAAATTAGAAATAAGGGCAAAATAGTTTCTGCTGGGTATTGAGGGGGTGGAGGGGAGAGGCATGGGGCGGAGTGGGTGGTAAGGGAGGGGGTTGGGGCAGGGGGGAGAAATGAACCAAGCCTTGTATGCACATATGAATAATAAAAGAAAAAGAAAAAAAAATAATAAATAGTGCCCATTTCAGAATTATATTTCCTTAGCCAAGATGAACTCTACTATGGGACTTTCCTCTTTACAATTGTTTTTATGTTTCTTTGTAGTTGGCCTCTTCCTATGATAATGTCTGCTAGCCACCGTGGCACTGGTATGGCAATGAGTGGAGGTATGTATGTGCATTTTTATTTACACACATGTGAGTGCATGCACACACGCACGCAAACACCCCACACTTCTTTTAAGAACTGCCATTTTGAGCTGGAGGTTTGGCTTGAGGGTTAGAGTGCTAGCATTGCAAGTGGAAAGCCCTGAGTTCAAAACCCTAGTCCCATCAAAAAAAAAAACAAACAAAAAACCTGCTGTTTCTGTGACTTTTGTCATTGGCTCCTTTACAATTATCAGCAACTTGATTTAGAGAGAGTGATGAGTCCCTTAAAGTTACCATTCATTCATTCCTTTAACAACTATGCATTCCCACAATGCTCAGATTCTTTTCTTAGCAGAATTTTCACTCATTTTGTAGCAGTCCCTGATACTATATTTATTAAAACTAGAGCAGAGATTGAAATATAATAAAAATGAGCTAACTGACTGACTGATAATGGAACATAGTCAAGGCCAAACATCAGCCTTATTTGTCCAGAAAACTTCGGTTTTAGCCTCCATTCTTTGTCACCTAGAATTATCAGGCCCCAGAAACAAACTAACAAATCTCACAAAGCCTTGGTTTATAGACCAGAGTATCTATTTATTCACTTATATAATGTGAAATAGAGATAATGAGTGAGTTATATACTGGTCTTAGACAACGAATATATCCTTTTCAGGTAGGAAGGTTTATTATATGGAGTTCAGATTATAATCAGGTTTCTGAGATCTATCTTTTCATAGTGAGGATATACTTTACAAGAGAATCAGCTAGATTGCTAAATTTTTTCGGCTAGTGCTAGAGACATACACATATTTTGCTTTTTTTGTTTTCCATTGTCTAGTTTATAGCATGTTTTGCTCCCTTATCTTCAATAAAACCAAAAACTAGGTTAGGTTCCTTAAATACATACTCTCAAAGCCTTGTAAATTTTCCCATTCCTAATACTCATCACAGTTGTAATTTACTTTTTTATTGTCTTAAATTTTTATTTTTATTGGCAGTACTGGGGCTTAAATTCAGGGCTTTGTGTTTACTAGCCAAGTGTGCTACCTCTTGAGCCATGATTCCAACCCTCATTGTGTGTCTTAACTGAATTGTATGTTCACTGAGAACATCTGTGTATATTTTTCTTTTTATCACCTATTATGGTGCCTACAGTGCAGTAGATACTAAATCTTTTCAAAATGAATACTACAGTTTTCCATTAACATGCTTTCAATTATTTATTTATTTGTTATTTGTTTTCTATATTTCTTTCTCTTTTTTTGGTGGTACTGGGGATTGAACCCAGAGCCTCGAGCATATTAGGCACCACTGAGCTGTATCCCTAGTCCTATTTTTTAATTTAATGTTTTAAAATTTTATTTATTAGTATTATAGTTGTACCAGGGGTACATTGTGACATTCACAAAAAGTACTTACTATATCTTAGTTAGAATTACCCCCTCCATCTTTCTCATTTATACCTCTCTCCCTTCTCCTCCTGTTTTTCAAACTTAGGTTCAGTTTGTAATTTTTCAGGTTCAGTTTCAGGTTCGGTTTGTATATTTTCAGACTCTGGGGGTGTCTGATTTTGCTCCCCTGTATACTGACTGTAATAACTACCTAACTAATTTTTGGGTTGGTGAACACATTCACATGATGGGAAGGTTGTGCCCCTCAGCTACATGGGGACAGAAGCTCCCAGACCTGGGACTCTTCTAGACCTTGCCCTGTATACCTCTTCATTTGTCTGGTCTGTATCCTTTATAATAAATTACAGTAAACATAAAAAAAACAAAACTACTTCACTAGTATTATACTTCAATACTGGTACTTCTGTATTATGTAATTACTAGTTTCATTGAAAGCTATTTAAGTTAGAGGGAGCAAGAAGAGATTATTGGGCATTAGAGTGCAGTATAGGTAAATCTGAGTTTGTTCTCTTTGTCAGTCTCCGTGGGATATCTGGGGAGCTTATGCTCTCTCCAAACAAAGGTGACCCAGCCCTTAAATAGCTATAGGAAAAACAAATGCAAACTAAGATTGGCAACATGCTTTGTAAAAGAAATGTACCTTTGAGATAGAGGAGTAAAAGGAGATAAACAATTCACTGTGATAACTTTAGTAACAAGTATGGAACCCCAGAGGAGGAACCAACAAATACTTTGAAGTAGTTGGATAGCTTGAAAGAGGGATGAAGAGGAGAACTCTTGAAAGAAGGGTGAAGAGGAACTCTTGTAGTTCTGTGTAGAAAATTTGGCCATCTTCTGCACGGCGTCTGGATCCACATGGCACTGCATGGAGGGAATGGAAACAACCCAGAGTCACAGGGTAATGCTGATGTGGTCTGCTTGCTTGAGCCTGATGTTAATGGGAGAAGTGATAGAAGATAAGACTGGAAAGTGGGCCAGACAGTGAAGTACTTTGGCTGCCATTCAAAATTGGAGCTTGGTTCAACTGTTGGTAAGCCAATGGTTCATGTTCTCTTCCTTGGATCCATTGAGAGGACAAGCTGGCCTAGACAAATCCATGATAAGTTATTATTCAGGCTCTGGAGATTTTGTGGCTAATATATAAAATTTAAAAAGCATGGTAACAGTAGTTTGACTTCGAAATAGTATTATTGAAAAAACTTTACAAACAATGCTTTAAAAGATGGGAAGAGGCTAATAGCACTCTCGCATTACTTAGGTTCTATAAGGATTAAAATACTCTGGATTTTTTGTAATGACAGTATAAAAATCTGATAAAATTAGATAAATTCCTTTAGAATGGCAAGTAGCTGGATCTGCAATAATGAGTGAGACTGGGAAAGGGTAAATAACAGGATGAAACACATCAATGAAAAGCATTAGACTAGGAAGAGAAAAATAATGGTGCTAAACAACAGTTATTTGTCAAATGTAACTCTTATTGAGCTATACAGTTAACTTAAATATATGTTTTGGGTCATCTTTAAAGACAGGTCAAATTGGAGAGTCGGAAGTTCAGGGAAAGATTTCTGGAATCCATAGGCAAACTTACTGCTTAGGCAGCCAGCCTTTTTTCTAGAAAAGCCAAATGGCATACAGTTTTATAAAGTAACTAATGACCTCTGAAATTGCTGCTTTTTTTCTTCTGGGTTTTTCTTGAGTTGGATCATTGATTATTAATTTTCAAATGTGATTTTGTATACTTTAGGAATACTGATAATTCACACTGAGTCAATATAGAGAAAGTGAAAAACAAAGCACATACTTTTCCCAATGAACAATCTGAGTTTAGGCCCTACTCTGTCAGTATTAAGGAGCTAATCAGATCTTGAAAAGTTTTATATTGACACCCTGAGCCTCAGATTTTTTTGTCTACTGGTGTTTATAATCAGTTTTATAAAGTAACTAATGACCTCTGAAATTGCTGCTTTTTTTCTTCTGGGTTTTTCTTGAGTTGGATCATTGATTATTAATTTTCAAATGTGATTTGTAATACTTTAGGAATCCTGATAATTCCACACTGAGTCAATATAGAGAAAGTGAAAAAAGCACATATTTTCCAATGAAACACATCTGAGTTTAGGCCCTACTCTGTCAGTTAAGGAGCTATCAGATCTTGAACAAGTTATTTGACCTCCCTGAGCCTCAGATTTTTTTGTCTACTGGTGTTTATAATATATTTTTCTTATACACAAGGGCAATTAAAATTCAGAGATCATAAAACTAATATAAATTCTTACACAACAGATGTTTTGCTATTTTTTAAAAATTTTTAAAATTAGGATAAATTAATTGTATGGGGGGATTCATTATGACAGTTCCAAATAGGCTTGTATTGTACATTGATTAGGTTGCCCCACCAGCTCTCTCCCTCAACCCCCTCCCCACCCTATTTCAGGTAATTGCAAGAGTTTTCATTGTTCTGTTTCATATATGTTTGTTGAAGAAAACTAAAAGTTTGTGGATATGTCACTGAGCTTTATAGAACAGCTCAAAACCTTAGGCAAAATTCCAAAGTCATCAAAATGTATATATTAAAAATGTATAAATTTTTTTGTTATACTTCAACAAAACTAAAATTAATGAAGGTGATCTAAGTGTGTTAGAGACATAGGACTAGATGTAATTGAAATTAAGTAAGGCAAAAATCTAGTTGGTAGTACTCTATTTCAGGGTGCAAATGCACAGCTTATGGGCCATATTTGGCTAACAGATATCTTTTTTTGGTCATACTATGATTAAAAAACAATAGAATTTGAGTCCTTTGCCCAATTTTTAATCTAGTTGTTTTCTTGCTACTGTGTTGTTCTAGTATTTTCTGGATATTAACTCCCTTGTCTAATAATACAGTTTGCAAATATTTTCTCCCCTTCTGTAAGTTGTCTCTTTGGCCTGTTTTAAAATGGTTTTGCTGTTGTAAAACCATTTTAGTTTGATGTAATCCCATTTGTCTCTTCTTTGCTTTTGTTCCCTGTGCTTTCAAGTTTTTTAATCCAAAAAAATTCTTGACCCGACCAATGTCATGGAGCATTTGCCAAGTATTTTCTTCCAGTAGTTTCAAAGTTTTGGATAGGGTGACTATAATTAACAAAAATGCATTGCATATTTCAAAGTATCTAAAAGAGAAGATTTGGAATGTTTTCACCACAAATAAAAAAGAAGTAGAATTTGAATGCCTTTAGGTAGAAATGTACACCTGCCCATTCCTAACAGTTCTTTAATGAGCCCACCAGTGTTTATTGCCTTCATGACCTTATGCTCAGCTTGATTCACACATTTGTGGCATTGCTGCGGTTTGAACTCAGAGCTTCACACTTTGTAGGCAGGTGCTCCAGCTTGAGCCATGCCTCCAGCTTGATTCACACATTTGCTTGATTTTTGTAGGCATGGGGTTTGGTCTGCTTACTGGGAAGGACAAAGGATGGGGGAGTAACAGTGAGAAAGGAATGGATAGTCAGAAGCATAGAAAGGGCCAAAAATGAAGATCCAGATGTTTATTCTCTAGAGTACAAAGGAGTGATACATTAAACCTGTGGGACACAACATTTTCAGGTCAGTGGA